TTAACTAACAATTCTCGTTAAAAATTATTAGCTGCTGTTTTAAAATACATTTCTTTTATGAAGCATATGTCACTTTAACTCACTAGATGTTTCATGACAACAATATTGCAGTTCTTGTTGTTTTTATTGGACCTGGTAACGTCATTTAGCAGAAGAGAAGTAGGAAATAATCTGTGGTTTCCTCACAGTTTGACTTAAATATTTTTTAGGTGTTTTGGGAACCAAATACTTTCTTTAATCAACCCAATTCAAGATGCCACCACAGCTGATCAACATTAGCCAACCAACAAGTGGCTATAACTTATTTTGATATTAAGCTAAAGTTTTGCATGGTAGTAACTGAGAGTCATCCCCCGACATACTCTGAGCATTAACTGATCACACAAGATCTGTTTTTAAAACTGATATATTCAACCCTGCTTGTCTGTTAGCAAAATATCTTCCAAACCATTGGATGTCTTATCTGAATCTGACTCCCCGGTTGGCCTCGAAAACAGGCCGACTTATCAAGTTCTCCTGGTAAACGTGTAAAATAAAGAAAAGCTTTGTCTACCCCCCCCCCCCCCCCCCCCCCCAATAACTTCTGTGGAGACTTATCAGAACTGTGCTGGCCGACCATCATCTCTCTTATCAGGACAATGGTCTATCTGTTAGTGCTTCACGGACCGCCTCGTTGTAAACACATATGTAACGTGTTCATAAATGTGCTTTACCTGGCAGAGTTTCTTTGATGTCTTAAATCATGTCCTGTTAGGACAAGGTGTGAGGAGATATTTTTTGTAATGCCACTATCCACGGCTTTGTCCCTTTTTCTGTCTAAAAAATGTATTCTGAAATGATAAGAGGCTGCGCTCTTAAAGAGCAGCAGCTACGTGCACCCCGCCCATCTTTCAAACGACTGTACGGACATGTTCTCGTTGTATCTTGGTACAATGATAACAAAGCTTATTCTGATTCTGATGGAGCGTAATGAAACTTTTTGGATGTACATGCAAATTCAGATGACTACCGCAACTAATCCACCTTAGGCACTAAAAGTACCGTATTTTCCAGTGTATAAGTCGCATCAATCAAAAAAAGCATCTCGAAGAGGAAAAAAACATAAGGCACTTCAGAGTAGACGTCACAGGACTGACAAATCTATGCAAAAAACAGCAACTTATATGCCGGAAAATACGGTAGCTATAACTAAGCTAACTGTACATATATTGGGCTAAAACTTGATGTGGTAGTAACTGAGAGTCATTCTCACTTTTTTTAGTGGTGTTTTGCAGTAGTTGAGATTACTCATAGCATTCTGGTCAAGGTTTGACCAAGACGGCTATAACTGCTTCAGTTTTCAATCTAAAATGATCTCAGTTTAAAACTCTGTCTTGTTAGGCGGTGGGCGATATGCATGAATCAGTATGATGAGTGGGATGAGAATAAAAGCTGCTGTTAGAGAATTTAAAGAAAAAAGGGATATTGAACGTTGGAAACCAGGTTATTTGGTTCATATGTTTTCATTCCATCTAAAACTTAAGGATATCTTGTAGGAATGCATGTCATCTATCGTCTTTCATGTCAGCGTTTCAAACTAACATCATCTTAGGATAAGAAGGGGGTAAAGTTAAAGCCATTTTGGTCAAATCTTGAAAATGAAGTTATGCGTGATCTCGTGATATTGCGAGATCTTGCACGAGCTGTTAGTGCTAAGAATAAATGTTGTGACTGACTCTCATCTACTACCAGACCAAGTTTTAGCTCTATATTTGCAAAACTAGCAGAGTTATAGCTTTTTTGTTGACTAAGATGGATTCAATGTGGCGGCCATCTTGAATTTAATTGCCTCCAAAAGTTACGATCAATGGTTATTTTCTGAGAGTTTCATTAAAATCTTTCCAATGGTTCATGAAATATTTTGCTAACAGACAGGCATAATTGACTGTAATAGTTAATGGCATGTGTTGAGTATGGCTGTAAGCTCAACACTAAATTTTAGCTCATTAGCAGTAAAACTGTCAGAGTTAGAGCTAGGGATGCACGATATTATTGGCATGGTATCGGTATCGGCCGATATTAGCGATAAAGTTAAATATTGGACATCAGCCATTCCATCAAAATCACTCACCGATATAAAAGGCGCTGTTTTTATATATAAGGTGCTGTTTTTGTGTGACAACCACAAGGATGCCTGCAGCGCCAGCACAACGTCATGACGTCACGTGCGCCTACCTGATCTGATCACGGCAGAGAGGAAGCAGTGAAAATGCGTCGGTGTGGAAGTTTTTTAAAGTGTCAGAAACTGATAGCAGATCTGCTACTTGCTACTGCTACTGCTCTAGAGATGCACCAATCCGATACCAATATCGGTATCGGTTCCGATCGTGAAAAAACTTATGGATCGGGTATTGTGACAGTGTGACCGATTCATGACTGGGTAGATCTGCTCACTCTAATTCTATGCTTTGTGCTCTGGGTGATGTCACACGCTAGCGAACTCACCGCACAGATTGTTTTCAAAATGGAGCGAGCGAAAGGATCAGCCATCTGGAACTATTTCACACTACCTCAGCCAACACCTTCGACAGCTACGTGCACAGCGACGGCTCCAGGGAGTGTCACTAAAACTTCCAGTTAAAACACTACCAACTTAATCAAGCATCTCCAGAGATTTCACCCCAAAGAGCACGCTGAGTTTGTTGAACGGAATTCAGCACAGCTTTTCTGTATCGGATCGGTATCGGTATCGGCCGACACGGCAAGGTATCGGTATCGGAAGTGGAAAAAGTGGATCGGTGCATCCCTAGACTGCTCAGCGTCAGTGATGCGAGGAGGAGCAAAAACGAAGTCCTACAACACTTTGAACCTAATTCACCATCTCAAGAACCACCTTTCTGACCATTACGGTGAGTTCATGGTGGCCAGAAAGGAAAGCGAGAGAGTGGTCAACCGCAGAGGAACCAATCGTCACCAGCAGTTCATCCATCCAAAGACCATGCTGAATAATGTAGTATTTTAATTCCACAGCAGAGAAAACTATGTAGTCTCTGTAAGTACGTCTAGGGGAAAAATATCGGTGTTTGTTATCGGCCAAATAAGTTTTAACATATTGTAATATCGGGTATCGACCAAAAATCCAATATCATGCATCCCTAGTTGGAGCCCTTTTTGAATTTGCTAAGTTCACCTAGCTGTGGCATCCATTTTGAATGGAACTGGGCAGCAACATTATGCCTTGGGTTATGGGTGATGAATATGGCGTATGATACAGAGTATATTGGCTCGGGACAATAATTACTCGAGTCCGATGGGGCTGATGACCTGCTGTCCCTCTGAGGGAGGGTTAAGTCATCATGCAGGCCTCTGACAAGTTAAAGACATTTCAAACTGGGCGTTGGTCAATATGGAGCCCACTCCCTCATAAAACATTGTTTAATTGCCTCTGACTCAGAGGCTGAGGCCGTTTCTTTGTTCGATATTCACAAGTTTAATTTCATCTCACGTCCAAATTAGTGATTTTTTTCTCTTTTTACTTGCTTGAAAATAGTTAAAAAGGTCACATATACAAAAGGAGCACTTATCGGCCCAATTAAACAAATCATCCAGCCAAATTGATGACACAAAACACCTGTCAGTTTGATTTGTTGAAATGAAACGCCGCTCCTCTCAGATGGTATAATTTATGTCATCAGCTCATCTGAATTGGGCTTTTTTTTAACCTTTGTATCGTCACGGAGTTGGAATCACTTTCCTGTTTGGTGGAAACAAAAGCTCATCTTTGACACTGAGGATAAAAGGCTTCTTTTTTTTTTTTCAGGGTGCAGGATGTGTGCGTTTGTGTGAATATAGATGTTGGTGAAACGGTAGACAAAAGGCTTCGTCAGCAGTTCTGAACCTGGACCTGCTCCCTCTGACCCTCTCTTTGTCTGCGGGTCCATCAGTCGCTCTCTGCTTTCTGTGGTTTCATTTGAGAATGTCAGAAATATTTAATAAAAAAAAAAAGAAACCAAACTGCTACGTATTTTCACCATCTCAGATAACAAATTTTGTCCTCGTTAATTAAATTCAGTTTATTTCTGTAGCACCAATTCACAATAAAAGCCACTTGATGGCACTTTACAAGGAAGTGACAAGTCTAAATCATAAATTCAGTTGCAAAGGGTCATTAATAACAATGTATTTGAGAATTATTATTATTTTTTTTTAATTACAAGTTTTTTTACGGAAATGCTTTGTTTAAATTAACCATAGCAATCCTCAGCCATTATCTTTTATTCCAAAGATTTCAGAATAAGAGCATTTTAGCTGTTTGGGAATAAAATAATGCACTGTATGATGAGATCTGTTAGTGCTCAGAATATGCGTTGTCAATGACTCCCAGCTACTACCACATCAAATTTGAGCTTAATAGCTGTAAAACTGACTGAGTTATAGCTGTGTTTGTGTTGGCTAATGTGGATTAGTTGTGGCAGCCATTTTTTATCCGGTTGTCTCGTGAATCATTTGAATCAGTTGCACCAAGTGTTTGCTTTTTGCACGTTTCTTTTCATTCCGTCCAGTGGTTCACGAGACGTTTTGCTAACAGACAGCCATTATTGCATGCTGTTGATTTTCAGTGGCAGGTGTTAACTAGCACTTTCATTTTTATTGATAATTTCATCCAGGATAAATAAAAGTAAAATAAGTTCAAGGTTCTTTGTCATTCGCACCCCATGTGGTACATATGGTGGAACGAAATTGTGTACATAGGGTCCCAGTTACATCCACTATAACAAATAACGTTTCTTGTACAGTATTTGATTATTTATCAGCTTATATCCTTAAAATGTGCAAGTTTTTATTTTCTATTTTAATATTTTATTTGTTTGCTTTGTCTAATGGTTCAGTGTGTTGTGGTTTAAAACTAAATACTCGTCCATGTTTGGATTCTGTTTGGCTTCATGATGTGTTCTCCCTCCTCTCCTTCATGTTTCTGTGTGTGTGCATGTGTGTGTGTGTGCGTGTGTGTGTGTGTGCAGTTGGAGCGTCAGATCCTGATGCAGAACCAGATGAGGGAGAGGCAGATGGCGATGCAGATCGCCTGGTCCAGAGAGTTTCTCAAATACTACGGCTCGTTCTTTGCCGTGGCCACACTGGGACTAACAGCAGGGTGAGATCTGGGTTCACATCTATGTAACGTGTGCGTCTTCACAGTTTCAGCTTTAAAGTTATCACACCTGGTCGTTCAAACATTGGAATATTAACGCAGTTTAAAAAAGTTAGAACTCCACGTCTTCTGCTATAGAATAGGTCTAGTTGTATTTGTTTTTAAGATCTGCCATGTCCTTGATGACTGAGAATCTACACCAACATAGGAATGACTCCATTGTTGGTGTTGGGTATTGTCGTTACTAGCGTGGTGAGATTGATGGTTTGTTTCTACTTTCAGTACATCTCCCTTATTCCAGTAGTCAAGAATCTGAACGATCAAATGCAGAGGGGGGGGGGGGGGGGGGCACAGTTCTGCTACTAACCTGGTAACAGCTAATAGCAAAACTTGTTTTTTTATTTAGTGGATTAGCATTTTTGCAAATATTGGAGACCGTTAGCAGAATTAGCTTCTACTAAATTAGGTTTTTCCAACTTTGAGTTCGCTAACAAAATTCAGAAACTTGTTTATGCCTGTTGTGGGCGTGTCTCTAAGCGTCCGTTAGACGCGCGATTGGCTTATTATGTGTACACGTGTCAAGACGTGATTGGTCGACGCAGCTTCAACTGGAAGGAGACGAAGACGTGTGACGCAGACTAAATGACAGTCGTCTTAGCGGTTAACAGTTTAGCATTAGCAAAGCTAATTTTTCAGTTAGCGGAATATGGGGTAGCGAAGCTAACTCTTTGATTTGCCGTGCACCGATCAGATGTAAAGACTAGTCGAAACAAGCATGGCAGATAATAATGTAGTCGGCTCTGATTACACGCCGACTTTAGAATCGATACACATGTGCTAACATGTGTAGCATCCATGTATGAACTTTGGTAAACGCAGCCTGCTGTGTGTGACACCACATCGTGTTCTGCACATGCAGGTCCCTTCAGAGCTGTAGACCGTTCACACTGGAGTGTGACGACAGTCGCATTTAAATTAGAATGTGAACGACCGCGCAAAAAAAGTCAAATCTCAGCTAAAAATTGTAATGAAGCATAAGGACCTGCGGCGTGAACGTTGTCTTTAACACGTCAGGGTTTAAGTCACAGATAGGTGGCGCCAGATCACATTTTATTACCTGTGAGGCGTTTGTGTTTTCTGATTTGCAACACATTTTATCAACATTTGTAGTCTCTAGTCCCCGTCATAATGAAATTTCTTTTCCATGCATTAGAATTTAATAAACTTGAGTTGAGTGTGATTTTTTTTTTTTACACACAATAAATGTATACATATTTTAACTGTTTTATGTTTATTTTTCTCAGTGCCGTTAAAAGAAAGAAACCAGGCATGCTGCTTCCCATTATTCCTCTTGGTTTTGTATTGGCCTACCAGATGGACAGCGCCTATGGAACAATGATTTTTCGTATGAGAGGTGAGGACAAACAATTATTAACTCAGTGTGGCACTTTAATTTAACACTGTCTCTGACAAAAAATAGTGAATATATTTAAAATCAAATAAAGCCACCAGGTCTTAAAGTGAGATCAATATTTAAAGTCAGGAAAAAGGCACAATGATGAATATTGGAGGATTATTATTATTATTTTTTTTTTTTTTTTGCTGTTTTGTGAAATGATTAAAAAAAGGAAGAAAAAAAAAAATCCAGATTTGAAAGAAAGTGAATGTCTATTTTATGAAAACCAGGTCAGTTAATCATTGTAAAATTTAATGTAAAAGTCCAAAGGGAATTAGTTTAAATTAAGTTTAGTTTTTTAACTTCAGGAGTCATTACAGTAACGGTAAACAAGCTTCTTTTTTTTTTTTTTACTTAAAACAATCAAATTAAGACCTTTGTTAAATTACAATCCCACCTTTTCTCAATAATTTCTATTAATAATGTCCACATTGAGGTGGAATTGAACACACAGGCATCTCATAAACAAATTATGATAAAAACAAAAAGTATATTGTACCATAAAAAGAGAATAAAGAGAAGAATGGTGCTTTTGGATCTTAGGATATCTCCTTTAGATTTGATGTATGACATCATAACAGAAAGGCTCGGTCAGGGTCATCCGAGGCTCCTGGAGCTGCAGGTTCTTGTTCAAAAAGAAAAAAAATAATTAGATACTCAAGAAAATGATGCAATGGAATGCAGCCAAATAAAACCTTTAATTCTTATTTATTTACTGACTTCTTCACACAATACAAATAATGTTTACAGGAGGGAATAAAACTCCTCAAGTAACATTTTGTTATTCTCCCAGTGAGGTCACTGGTTTTCTGTTAAACTAATCAACATGCTCTATTGTGCTTTTTTGAAAACGTACTAAAAACTAAACAGCTTGACATCACAGCTACAGTTTATTTCCTGCCATAAGTGATGAACGTTGGACGCAGAAAGGCAGTGATTACCAATAAATAGCTGTTTTCCACAGACGTATAGGAAGGAAATGACTGCTTAGGCAAACACCAATTTGCTGCACATTGTATTTTTGTTTTGTTGCACTTGTAGAGGAGGCTGAGAGCATCATGGCGTCTGAGCAGAACCGTCTGGACTTACCGCATGGCGCCCCGACCTTTGACAGCATAGAGAAGGCCCGGCGCGCTAAAAGCAGCCTCATCTCCTTCCTGGAGAAGTGACGCATCGTTTGTGACACGAGTCAAAGTCTGAGCCGTCCGCTCGGTGCGTTCACCTGTGCTGCTTCTGTTTTGAGGTGGGCGACAGCTGTCAGATACGATCAGACTTTTTAAGGCTTGTTAGAATCTGCAGTTTGAGCTCGATCTACAGAACGGCCCGGGTATGAAATTAGCAGCTGTTTCAGTGAAATAACTGGCGCCATTGTTTTTTTTTTTTTATTAGACCCGGTTGGATTTTTAGAGCAGATTGAGTCATGGATGTGTTAATTATTTATTGATACATTTACATGTCTGTGGTATGTCGTGTTGAGAATCTGAAGCTGCACTGAGTAGATGAAGACAACTAGAAAGACTCAATAACACATCAGTTATCCTACAAATTGCTCATTATTTATTGCTGTTTAAATGTGTCCATTTTCAGGATAAGATCACTTTTAGTCTAAAACTGACATGAAAGGTGATGGACGATATGCATTCCTTAAAGAAATGTTCAGCCTTTTTACTCTTCTGCCTTTAGCTCAGTTTTTGGGTCAGCTGGACTTAGTTTTGCCACCGAGCTTCTTTTTGGATTTGCATGTAGTGTTTTTTCTAGGGATGCACGATATTATCAGCATGGTATCAGTATCGGCCGATATTAACGATAAAGTTAAATATCACATATCGGCCAGTCCATCAAAATAACTCACAGATATAAAAGGTGCTGTATATATATATATATATATATATATATATATATATATATATATATATATATATATATATATATATAAGGTGCTGTTTTTGTATGACAACCCAGTAACAAGGACGCCTGCAGCGCCAGCACAACGTTATGACATCGCGCGCGCCATTAAGTTTAGATTTGTGAAAATTTACAAATTTGCATTTTTTGAGTGTTGTCGTTGTGTTAGAGAGTAAACATAATGAATAAATTTGACATTAAACATAATCCAAGTTGAAGTGTTACATCATTTTCACCCCCCTTTTTGCCATCTGCATTTGGTAGCAGGCCAAACTGACAACGACCATGCAGCAGAATAATGTAGTATTTTAATTCCACAGCAGAGAAAGTTATGTCGTCTCTGTAAATGGGTCTGGGGGGAACAATATCGGTATTGGTATCGGTTATTGGACAAATAAGTTTTAGCATATCGGCCAAAAATCCAATGTCGTGCATCCCTAGTTTTTCCCCCCTGTAATATAATTGAAGCACTCAGATCATACCAAAGCTTGTAACTTTCTGTTGAATAAAAACTGATTGTATTTCTTCAATGAGCTGATATTTATTTATTGTTTAACTTTTGTGTTCTACAAGTGGTAAAACCATTAAAAAACAACTGTTTCAGTAACTTGACTCAACAAGATGCCAGGTAAATGCTTTACTCTGGTATTAAAAATCCCCATCTGTGTTTTTCTTCTCCCTGCTGAGACGCTCTGTGTGCATACTCACGCATAATATTATTACTACAACAAAGAAATAACTCCAAGTACGTCACTGTCGTCAGCCTAAATGACGTGTGTGGGTGTGCGGTTGTTTCACGCAGGGAGGGTGGCTCGAACGCGCGGGTCCAGGAGTGAACTATATAAGGTTGCGGTCAAAAGAGACCACCAGAGCAACACACAAGAGACGAAGTGACGCGTCTGTAGCTGTTCTGGTTGAACTCTTAGCTCAGAGCAGCTCTGAGGTGGAACCCACCTGTGCAGCACGAACCAGCTGTTTGAGTCGGAGGGAACGATGCTGTGGAGGGTGGCTCTGGCCGTGGTGTGCATAGGAGGCGCGTGCAGCCGTGTGAGAGCCGACGTGCTGGGCAGAATGATCTTGCCCAGGGACTACGGGGTGAAACTGTGCGGGAGAGAGTTCATCAGGGCGGTCATCTTCACCTGCGGCGGCTCGCGGTGGAAGCGGTCCACAGAGGGTGACGCAGGTGAGTTCATGCTCACTAAAGTGTGTAAAAGTGTTTTTATATATGACTCTGGAAGTAATAAGTAATATTTTATACGCACATGTACTAAAGATGCTTTAACTTGTTTGAAAGTTAGAATGTTTTGGTGAAAATAGAGTGCATTTTTTTCTATATAAAGCTCCATAACATGTGCAGTAAGCTTTGATGTCTGTGATTTTTCCTTAAAATGTGCCTGTCTGTCCCTGCAGACCCATTCCAGTGGACTTCCCTCAGTGATCTCACAGTGGAGGACAACCAGCAGACCTGGCAACGCGACGCAGAGCCCACAGACACCCGCTCTCCTCTCCCTGTCGCCTCCTCCTTGTCGCTGGCAGACCTTCTGAGCCTTTACAGAACCGCGGGCGGCAGGCAGCAGCCCCCTTCGAGGGTTTCAGACCCCTCGGGGGGGTCCGCAGTTTTAGGAGAGCAGGATGCTGCTTCCATCTGGTCCGTCTCGAGCAGGAAGAAGAGGAACTTTTCTCTGGGTGTGGCGGGGATGTGCTGCAGCCAGGGCTGCACCAAAAACGATATTGGTCGCTTGTGTTGAGGCAGGAGGGAAGGGGGGCGATGGTCAGATGTAGAATTAGGAAGTGTACAGTACTGACGCACATGGGTCCAGATTCATTATTTTTTTTGCTAATTTATTAAAGATGTAACGTTTGTCATTTTTTTCTGCACCTTGAAATAAATTTTAAACGGTGTTGATATAAAACGTTGAGCTGTGTCGTGTTGTCTCAAACGGGGTTTCTGTATTTGACACATTAAGCTGCTGCAAACTCGCTGACCTTTGTTCGTATCGTTACAACGTCCTGATCATTTCCTGTCAACACCCCGAGGACAACTCAGCAGTTTTTATTTTCCAACAAAAATTCAAAAACACCTGACCTTTGAGTAAAACATCACCATCCTTACAGCATGTGGACAAGATGAAACTGACCAAACAGGATTTTATAAAACATTTTTATTGATTTAAGAATATATTCACATTAAATTTACATCCTTTATTTACATTTATATACAGAAACAGTCACTGAACAGATTGTAAACACTTTTTACAAAATCCATATTTAAAACTGGAAAACAAAAATATATCACGCCAATAGTAAAGGAAAGCATTTGTATTTTATTGCTTTAAATCAAGTAAATCTGGTCATGAACCATAATCGTTTACCTTTTTATTTAATATTCTCTTTATTTCACTGTCAGTGTTTTTCCCTTAAAGTGATCAAATAAAAGATGCTTTAATCTGATTCCATCCTGATGAACTGAAATGAATACTGTTAAAATTATCACAAACGCACATTAATATATAATACATGCTAAATATCCCAAAATACTGGAATGAAAATAAATGTGTGACCACTCATTTTGTAATCATTAATGTAATGCACAAATATACATTCAAACATCTTACAATGACATGAACACACATTAAAGTTTTAAATAAACCTGCACAAAATAAAACACTTTTCCTCACAATAATAAGCTTTTACAGGCTATCAAACATACAGCAATAAAAAAATATAAATGACTAAAACAATTCTTGTGATTTTATTACAGTGAGACTTAATGTTAGAAAAGCTTTCAAAGAATGAGCGTTTATGGTCTTGGGTATAAAAGGATGTAAACATATAGAAGGAAATCTGCTTTTGCAGAAAAACAACTCAAACGCGGGTGTTTTTCATTTGTTTTAACAGTAAAAACATAAACCACTAAGAGCTCCTCGCTACGAGTCTCCTTGTAATAAATGCAATCTTAAATAAAGTTTAAGATTGTGCGATTTGTCAGCAGGAAGCCTGCTCAGTTTGTCAGCCAAAAGGCAGGGACGTTTCCTCATCATTTCAAGGTAATCATAATTAACACACTTAAAATAATAATGAGGTAACGGCTGTACAGCGCTTGCTCCAGCCCAACAAAACGACCAAAATAAAAAAAAAAAAATCAAACGTAAGAAATCCTGTTTTAGGTTTAAGAGTTGGCTGTAGTGTTCCCTCTTTATTCAGATCATTTGCTGCAGCAAAGCCTCGTATTTCTTCGCTTCGCGACGTCCGACTCGCATACATCACGACAGACGGGTCAAAGGTTGGGGAAGTGGTGGCGCTCATCCATCCTTGCTGCCTCGTACAGTCTCCACTCGCTGGACCAAGGACTTGAACGTAGGCCGCGACTTCGGGTCAAAGCTCCAGCAGTCCAGCATGATCTTGTAAATCTGAAGAAGCGAATCAAAGCGGTCAGACTGATGGACGCCACATTAAGAAGAGAGGAGTGTGTGTGTGTGTGTGTGGGGGGGGGGGGGTAGCTTTTGTGGTTTAGATAAAGGTACAGACCTCGTTTGGACAGTTGTCAGGAGCCGGCAGCCTAAATCCATTGTTCAACAGGTTAAAAAAATGGACCAGGACCATATGGCCGTGCTTTTCATTCCCCATATTCTCCATGAAAATCTACAACACAGATGCATCAGTAAAATATAATAAATCAGATTTTTTAAGGAAGAAGTGGGCAAAGATAATGGATGGATGGATTTCTTACATCTGAATGACAATAAAAACCTAGCATCATTTTTAAACCAAGATTATCTTCTATTGATGCATAAACTGAAGCTAGAGAAATTACATTTCCTGTGAAAATGCAGTGTGAATGCTTGTTGCAGAATAACTTGCTGAGAAACAGCTGAAATTAGCTAAAAAAACATGCTGAATGAGGCTGAAATGGAAGAACAAGCTTAGATTAGCAGAAGAACACACATTTGCTGAAACAGGTTTAAACAAGTGGAAATGGGCACAAAAATGAGGAATTCGCTAAACAAAGCTGAAATTAACAACTAACAAAAAAAAAAGTAGCTGAAAGAAGCTTAAATTACCAAACGAAAGCAGAAAGAGCTGAAATAAGCTCAAAATGTGGAATTAGCTGAAAAAGCTAAACTTAGCTAAATAATAGCTGAAATATCAGAAAAAGCTGAAACTAGTGTATCTAAGCTGAAAGGAGTATAACAAGCTAAAAGTAGCAGAAATTACCACTAAAAAAACCCAACACGATTTTATCTGAAAACATCCGAAATTAGCTAGAAAATGCTAAAAAATGTAGCAAAAAAGTTACAAGTTTAAATTAGCTGAAGAAAGCAGAAAAACGAGTTTGCCCAATTAGGCTGAAAGAAGCAGAAATGAACACAAAAAGGTAGAAATTATCTGGGAAAAAAGCTGAAATTAGCAACAACAACAAAAAGCTGAAAAGTAGCTAAAAACGCAGAAGGAAGTGGAGAGCACATTTTGGCTGAATTAGGCAGACAAAAGTTGAAATTAATGCAAAAAAATATGGAATTAGCTGATAAAGCTAAAATTAGCATAAACAGCTAAATGCTGGTGAAGATTCTCAGCTCCTCGGATGAGAAGCGAAACAACTTCTGTTACAAATAAAGTCCAGTTGTTTTTTTGTATTGAACGTTTTTGAATTTGAAAACAGCTAAATAATAGCTGAAACGTGCATAAGTAAGCTGAAAGGAGCATAAACTCAGATTAGCAGATAGAAGTTAGAAGAAGCACAAAAACATAATTAGTGGAACGAATCTGAAAGGAGCACGAAACAGCTGAAAGTAGCTGGAAAAAAGTTGTTTGCACAAGGAAGCTGAAAGGAGCAGTAAAAGGTTGTAGAAGATTTAAAGGATGGGAAGAGCTCAATCCAAAGTGGCAGCAAAGGCTAAATATTTCAAAAAGCTAAAGTTTCACTAAAACCAAAAGTCATAGCACCTTTCTGAAAGAGCTGAACGTTTTGATAAATGGTTTGTTGAAGTAAAAAAAAACTGTGGAACGAGAAAACGTACGGGAAAAAAATGTCTCACAATAGTGTGAATGCTTCATCACACAACAACATTGTGCACGCCGTCACGCTCACCGTACGTGTTGAGGATGACTCAGCTACAAGCACATCACATTGAGCTCAGAAGCAGTTAAACTGTCTACGTTATGGATATTTTTGTGTTGGCTAAGCAGAGGAAACCATCTTTGAATTGTAGATTTACGTGCTTTTTGAGTTTCAGTGAAATCTGTTTACAGATTTATATTTTGACTCAGACAGCAAAAACATTACCGCCTCGAAGCGAGGGAGGCAAAGTGTTGGGCTGAGAATAAACGGGTTGTGTACCACAGGTGGAGCGCAGCTTTTATCGCTATAAGTGAAGAGTTCGTAGAGGACAACGCCGAAACTCCAAACATCTGACGCCACGGAGAACTTGTTGTTCAGAGACTCTGGAGCAAACCTGGAAAAGACAACAAGGAATTATTGAAGCATTTTCCTGAAAATATGTCATATCTTGATCGTCCGCCTTTAAAAGATGAAAGGGTCTGTATGCTAGCGAAACATTTCAAGAACCAATGGGTTTTAATGAAACGCATCAACAACTGATTCACTTTTGGAGGCAACACATTCACGATGACACAGCTAATCAACGTAAAACAAGCGGTACGCTGATGTCCCCCGACGCTGAGGGATTTAAATGGTAAATGTTTGTTGTTCTTGAGATTAATGTTTTTCTGGACTGGAATTGAACAAGGAATGAAAGTAAGCCTTTTTTTTTAATTCTTTTTTTTTTGTGCATGGTATTCAAGTGGGTAGGAGTTACATCATGTAAAAGAACAGAGGTATTTAGGTATATATGCGTTGTTTTTTTATTTATTATATTTTTTGCTTTTGCTTATCCAAGGCAGCACAGAGACTGATCTGGGCGAGTAAAGGGAGCGATTTTATCCACGACCATGAGTCTAGATTAAACTTCAGCCATCCCAAGGGCCACCTCAGTCATTTGAACAAACTATACTTTTAATATAAAACCATATATATATATATATATTATATATATATTATATATATATATATATATATATATATATATATATGGTGGCCATCTTGGATTTTGATGTGGCAAGCAAATTTTCAATACAGTAGTCCCTCACTACTTGGCGGTTCGTTTTTCGCGGACTCGCTCTATCGCGGTTTTTCAAAATAAGATTGGTCACGACACACAGTTGGCTGATTGACAGATGAGCCGCACGATCGGCATGGAATTTTTGCTTAAATTACTTTGAATTATTTTGCACCTGTGTGCAGCCTACACTGCACGAGAAACTTCCTCCTTCAAGCTCCTCCTTCCTCTGTGATCTCCGTTCTGCTGCGGAGAAGTGGGAATGGCCAAGAGCGCAGAGTGCAGTGGCTGAGAGGAGGTAGAGAGCTGAAATCATGACATGCTGTACTCTTTTAGAGCGTTTAGAAACATTGTTTAGAATATTGCAAGTGTGAGAAGGGTTTAAAACACCTTTGTATAATATATATATTAAAATAAACTACTACTTACTACTTGTACTACTTCCTACTTTGTGGTTTTTCACTTATCGCGGGGCTTCAGGGTACAGATCTCCCATGATAAACGAGGGACTACTGTAGTGACCTTTCTTACACATAAACACTGCCACACACCAAATCAGAAGTCAATAAGTTGCTTATTTTTCAAGTTATCCAGCTCACAAGGTTAACAAATATGCATATATGGTGGCAGCCATTTTGGATTTGGACCTGGCAACTCCATTTTCAATAGGAGCCTTTCTTACACTTAGATTTAGTCACGCACCAAAATGGAAGTCGGTATCTCCAGTTTATATATTTTTCCAAGTTATGCTCACAACGTGCACGGACAGATGGCAGGTAGAGAGTTGCATTCGGGTCCAAAAATTCCGACCCAGGCCGTAGCCATCATTTCCGAACTCCACCTGATCCGAAGAATTAACAGTAGTTACAGGTCCGAACCCGACACCCCCCCCCCCCCCCCCCATGATATTTTAAATTAAGCTTTGACTGCTTATATTAACGGTCGGTGGACGCAGTGGCTGAGTAAAGGGGGCAGAAGATCGGAATTGAGGGGGTGTTTGTCTTTTCATGGCTGTCAAAGCACATTAAATTCTTCCCCTGCTTCTGCCTGCATTCTGTTCTGACATGTCGGATATTTTATGATCTCACCTGTTTGGGTCGTGGGCCACGTGCGACCGCTGAGTGCAGCGGCTGAATGAACGTCCATTTGGTCTGATGGATCGCTGGCAGTAGTCCATCTGAAGCTTAACTGAACTTTATATATTTTTCAAGGCGGGTCAGCGCGCGGTGAAATGGCCGCATGTGGCTGGTGATAGTATGGCAAGCCATGTTGCCATATAATTGGATCGTCAACCCCACGCGTTGACGCAATCAAAAGCCGACCCAACCCGCACATTAAGCACATTATTATGGACCAGCCCGGTCCAAATCCAGGTCGGGCGGGGCCGGGCTCCAGGTTCGGGTTAAATGACGGCTCTAGATGGAGGGCATTTCCAGTTCACCCTGTTTGCTTTGTGATGGGGGACAAAAATGCCCTAAACTCCACGAATTTACAGACACTATCTAAAATTTTGTTTGGTAGTAGCTGAGACTAATTCCCAACACATACTCCGAGCATGACGTCTCACGATGTTCCATGAAAAAAAGCAGTTAAAAGTTGTCCAGCTAAAGGCGGGCCGACATCAAATTTCTCCTGGGATATGTGTAAACAAAGGAAGGCTCTGCTCTATCCGCCCCCCGCCCCCCGAGAATTTCTGTGAACGCTTATCAGAGTAGTACCGGCTGACACCAACATCTTATCTGGACTACGGACTATCTGGAAGTGCGTCATGGACAAATCTCATATAAATGTCTCATTCAAATGCACATGTAATGTGTTTATAAATGTGCTTGCTGCAAGAGTTTTTTGATGTTTTAAACCATGTCCTGATAAGGATAAGATGTGAAGAGATCTTTTTTGTAATACCACTATACTTTCCTCATGGCCTTTCCCATTTTCTGCCTAAAGAACAAGGGGCCACGCTCTTAGGCGCAGCAGCAACGTGCACGCCGCCCATCTTTCGGACGACTACGAACATGATCTCACTGTACTTGTACTACGGTGCAATGATAATAAAGCTTATTCTGATTCTGAAAATGTAACGTTTTACAACTCAACGCAGTTATTTCTCAGCATGAAAAGATTTTAATTTCAACTGGCCTGAAGAGCAAAGTCTAGGTAAAGACGTTTTATAAGTCGGCGTGTAAATTCCTCCAATGGGACGTACAAGTATTTATGTTCCTCACCAAAAGATGGGGCTCTCCCCGGGGTTCGCCACGTGGTAGTAATCTTTGTCCTGCGGTATCATCTTGGTCAGGCCAAAGTCGCCGATCTTAACCCTCATCTCGCTTTCCACCAGGATGTTCCTGGTGGCCAGATCCCTGTGAATGTAGCGCTTAGTGCCGAGGTAGTCCATGCCCTGTTAGGAAGATGAAATCAGCCCCAGAACCAAAGAACAGGCGGCCTCCACGCCTCGAGTTACTCTGCTACCTTGCAAATTTGCGATGCGTAGTGCAGCAGCCTCTTGGAATCGATGAGCTTCTTGTGCTTGTTGAGATATTCTTTCAAACTGCCGAAGGGGAGATACTCCATGATCAGCCGAAGGTTCTCTCGTCCTGCAGAGACCCCAGTTAAGAACGGTTGAAAGAAAAAGGTGAATTATCGTTGAGCTTTCATGGGATGTTTGATAATCATACAAATAAACTACGATGGAAGCAAGCAGACTTTTATTTACCAACGGCTCCACCCATACCTGCGCTGTAACACACTCCTTTGTATTTAACAATGTTTTCATGATGAAGGGATTTGAGGATTTCAATTTCCCGTTCGAACTCGCGGAGGTGCTCGGCTGTGCTGTGCTGCAGCTTCTTCACGGCCACCACCTCCCCTGTGCTGTCCAGCAGGGGGTCGTACCTGCACATCTCCACCGTGCCGAAGTTCCCCTGAACAGAGTGGGGGGAGAACAACGGATGCAGAGATGTTGGAAAAAGTTGTGAGTTTACAGGGTTGAAGGAACAAAAAGGACTTAAAAACAAAACACATCTTTCTGATATGTGACTCAAGGACCAGTCTGGAATAATTCAGCTAAAAGCTAAGTAAGCTAAAACACGGAGCCTCACTTTGCCCAGCTGCTTGAGGAAGATCAGGTGCCGCTCCTCAAACTGAGCGGTCTCTCGGCTCGCAGACGCCCACAGGAAGTCGAAATCTTGCGTCCTGCTGGGCACCATGTCGCTCTCCGTCAGCAGCTCATAATCTGCAACATCATGGCACAGCTGGATTAAAGTCCTCACCGTGCAGGCAGGGCACAGAAAATATGAACAACTGCACTTTAACTACCAACTCGTGGTATTTAAAGGGATATTTTGGTTGTTTAGATGTGGAGTTCTGATCAGACTGATGTGCAGAAGAACAGTTTAGTGCTCGGTTTGAACGAGGAGGAGGTCTTTTTGAAAGGAAGCTAAACAGTTCGTATAAGAGCACAAATTTGTATTTGCCAAATATCTCAGACTTTACTTTTTTATGTATTATTTGCCACAGTTGAGTTAGTTATTAGTCACTACTTTGTCAACTAAATCAAATTGTTTAACATTATTCTAGCTAGTTTGAGAATTTTAAATCTTTTTCTCCATTTAAAATAAAATACTCTAATTCCAGGGCTGCGCCACTAGATGGCGACAACATCAGACACATCAATACGTTTTTTTTTTTAACATGCTCTACTGTTTTGGTTTGGTTTTTTAGCAATATAATTTTTTTCCATCCCCCCTCCAAAAATCTGAGTGGACGGGAGATGCAAATGCAACCAACAAAAGACTGGAGTGTGAACAAGGCTCGCCTGCATGATGTCTGCATATAATGAATCCAGATGCTGATCTGGAGTTTCTTACAACCCTCCTTGTCTAAATACAAACTATGAAACAAAATAAATTAAATAAACTGGGAAAAGACTCAGCTGCACCACTTTTTTTTTAAAAGTTTGAGTTGTTTTCCTTGGTTTCCTCCTGTTGCCCTCCATCCTGAGACGCCATTCACTTGACTTTGTTTCAGAATTCACCTTTCAACTGATGTATTTACTGCAGTAAAACACTGATGGCTGTAACTCACTCAGCCTCACTTAAAAATAACTCTTTAAATGGATTTGTGACTTCAGAATGTCCGACGATGCGATTCGTCCCCCTACCTGGAGTGAAGAGGCTGTTCAAGTCTCTGAGAATGGCTCTGAAGGAAGGTCGATGCAAAGGCTCGTAGTCCATGCAGCTGTTTATCAGATTAGCCAGTTCGGTCCATTTGGGAGCCGGCAGCTGGTGTCGGTCCTCGTAGAACAGGTTCTTCTGCACATGACAACAGGTGTATGGGTTCAACTTGGGCTGGAAGGTAAAATATTCTTTGCAAAAAAATCCTTCAGTTAATAATTAAAGAGATGTTGCAGGTCTGACTTATAAGATAAAAAGCACCGGTTCAATTTTTGATCTTTCTCCAAGCTAAATCTGAGCATTTATCAACTACGTTGGTTTTATTTTTCTGGATTTTCCCAGGACTCTGCTGCAGTGAGTAATTATAGTACATATAACGGCTTCAGTTCCTTGAACCAGCCAATGTTGTCATGCATCAAACAAAGAAATTTATTAGGGATGCACGATATTGGATTGTTGACCGATATCCAATACCAATACCGATATTTGTTTCCTTGACCTACATAGCTTTCTCTGCTGTAGAATTAAAATACTACATTATTCTGCATGGTCTTTCTTTCTACTAAACGCAGATGCCAAAAAGGGGGGTGAAAATGATGTAACACTTCAACTTGGATTATGTTTAATGTCAAATTTATTAATGAAACTTACTCTAACACAATGATAACACTTGATCAGTGCAAATTTGTACATTTTCACAAATGTAAACTCAACCTGTTCACAAGCTACAAGTGAGAAGCACATAAGTAGTGCAATAATAAATTTACTTGACAGTTTCTTAAATTAAAAATTAACTTAAAACACAAGCCTTTTATATCGGTGAGTTATTTTGATGGATCAGCCGATGTCCGATATATAACTTTATCGCTAACATCAGCCGATACTGATACCATGCAATAATATCGTGCATCCCTAAAATGTATGATTTGTGATGACTAAACATAAATGTATTCCTTGATTTGTTTTTGTTAATTACGGTCATCCTTTAATTACAGTATAACCTACCTTTCATGTGTCGTGTGTCAATGTGCATTTACAACTGATTAACTTTTGGAGTTAAACCAGTTCAAGATGGCTGTCACAGCTAAGTGACCAAAGCCAACACAAAAATATCAAAAACTCTGTTCATTTAATAGATATGGATCTAAAATCTGGTGTAGTAGTAGCTGATAGTCATCTTTAACAGATACTCTGAGCAACAATAAATCACAAAAGATTTTTTTAAACTTTGGCATTTGAGGCGGCGGGTTCTTTTATGAAATGCTTTATTTTTATTTTCGTATTTGTTCGAGTATTTAGGTCTAAAAAGCTAAAATCTAATCAGTTGTAAGCACGTTCAAAACCTTCAACAGTAAAATGTAAGGATTTTTAAAGGCTTCAAGCACCCATACAACCTGGATATTATAAGAGGAAATTTCAGAATCCGTGCCGCAAATTAAGACCACCTTCTAAAACCTTTTCCCTACAAAATCTATTTGGTTAGGCTCGACGAGTCAGTTTGTGTACTTATACAAAAGTTAATCCTTAAATGAATTGTCAATGAGTAAGAAATACTTCATCATTGATGGCTGACCTTTGAGCAGTCCAGTGTGCCGAGTGGTTTCTCTCCCCCGCTGCAGATCTCCCACAGAGTCGTCCCAAAGGCCCACTTGTCTGTAGCCAAACCCAGATTTTGGGGGTTTTCAATGCACTCGGGGGGCACCCAAGGGATACGCTCCACCAGAACTAAAGTACAGACGTGTAGAGAATCAGAGGCATTGCAGGAATAAAAAGGCAAAATCCCTCAGGGCGGCACGTGAAGCAGTTTCTCACCTTCTTTGGGCAGCACGGTGATGCTGACCCCGGGGTCGCCGAGCTTGATAAAAGGCAGATTCTTCATCTTCTGATCCTTCTCTCTGATCAGCAGAACGTTCTTGGCGCAAACGTTTCCGTGAGTGATGTTTTTATCCTCCTGTTCAAAGACGTGGCAGAAACATCAGCTAATCCTAACGAAAGGACGCGCAGTTCTCGTGCGAGTCTTACCAGATAGTGCATCGCCCAGGCTAGCTGCTTCGCCACCTCCAACTTCCAGGGGATGTTCACGCTCTGCTTGTTCTTTTTCAGGTAGATGTCCAGGGAGCCAAATTTACCATACTCCTGCACCATCATGTCTAACAGAGAGACGGGTATTATTTGTTACCAACATTTAGTATAAAAAAAAACAACAACAAATGATTTTAAATTTGACATTTGCTGTATTTTTATCCAACTTGAGGTTTGTTAGATCAGATGAGTGGAGCCCACTGAGTAGCCTCACACTTGGTTACATATGATGGTATAAACATAAAAGAAGCTAGAAGAGTTAGAGCTGTAAAACTAGATTATGTCAAAGCTAAAGAAAACTGCAGGGATTTGTTTTTCTATGCTAGTCATTCAGATGCCCTACCTCTACCCCACACCGATATAATAATATAATACCCCATGTAGCCCAGTTTGAACTGTGCTATATAGTACAAACTACATTCATAGTAATATCATTTAAGTTTAAAAACAATATCTAAGTGATAAAAAGTGGAGTAAATATGAAGGAAAAACTCTTGTCATTTAGAAATGTATCATTTTAAAAACAGTTTGTATATGTTGGTCAAGAAAATCTAGTTTAAGCAGACTAAAACAGGCAGTTGTCATTTTTACTACATTCCTTGAATGTTACATACGTTTGTTTAAGGGGTACGTGCCATGTGGCAATTTCACAACCTGCTCTTTTGAGTTGTGCTAAGTGTCAATCTTGTTCAGTTTTGTTTTGGATTGGATTAAGCGTTTTATTTTGCCCAATCAGATGGGAGTGGGTGGGATTAATGATACGCTGCATGAAACGTGGGTCAGTGTGAAAACCAAACAAGGCAGAGCGCACAGCGACGCAGACGTGGGCCAATTACAGAGTAAAACTGTCCGTTGCAACGATTAATGCAGAGTTGCTGACTGTAAGACTTTAAGAAGAATATGAAAGGTAAATACCTTTGTATGTTTTATACCGTTTCAGAATGATGCAGTGTGTAGATGACAACCATGCTGTTTAACTAGCATTTTAGCATGCTAGTGCGATGTAGCAGCTCAGGTTATTGTATATTGAAATGTAAATCCAAGCATTAGTGGCTGGTTAGGCTCTTAATGGCTCCATATGATAAGCCAGTGTGTTTTACTATGGAATATTTAGGACAGAGCTGTTAATGTGTACAGTGGACCAGGAGCTAATCTTTGGACCTGCTGGATGAGTTAGAAGTTCCCCATTCAACCGTTGGATTCCCATCTATGAGGTTGCTGCCAGGAAGGATCTCTGTTCGTGTGACATTATCTGCCTACTTACCTTACTCAGTGCCACATTAAAGAGATCTCCATATCCACCTTTCCCGATCCAATCTCAAACTTTGAAGGATTTGTGAGTACAAAACTAAACCAATGCACGAGGTTGAATTTTATGTTGAAAAGCCTCACTGGTTTTTTTTGTGTCTGCTATTTTAAAACATGGTTGTGTTTTATTTTATTTGTGAAACTAATTAAATTTTTAGTGGGTTAAACGAAGTGTAAAGTCATAATTTCCTGCTAAGTGGAGTAGCCGCCATTAAATTAAATACAGTATAAACAGTATCTCCTGCAAGCTGTTAGTACGGCGATCTTTAAAATAACGTTCCCAGGGCCCCGACCAATGTACCACATTTCAATCTAACCTATTGGTTAACTCTTTAGCTACGTGGTGCGGGCGCTACAACCCCACATTTTTCAAAATAAAACGTTGTGCCAAATCTGCGGGATCAGTTCTAAGAAAAATCTGCAGTTCTTTTTTTATGCTATACTGTAGTATTAAATGAAGACCCCCCAAAAAACAAACAAACAAACAAACAAAAAAACAAATATTCTACAAAATAAGACTTAAACAAGCCAGAAAAATACTACGAATGCTCGGAGTTGCTGATTTTTTGCCTTTTCTTACTGGTTTAGTTTTATTTCTGCCTATTTTATTTTATTTTTTCAACATCAGGAAACAATGTCTGCTTACTTTCATCACCACAAACACAAACGCCATAGTTGAGGAGCAGGTACTTGTGGGAAAGCTGACTCATCATGCTGGCTGCCTCGAAGAAAGACTATAAGGGAAGAAAGCGAGAGAAGTGTTTTGAGTCCACGAACTTCTCAAGACATTTAGAATAAATCTCGTCATCAGTCCAACCTCAGAAAAGTTGCAATGAGCCTTGTTCAGAATCTTGATGGCGACTTCGATCCTGTGCGTCTCTCCATCCTCTCCCAGCTCCACCCTCTCACCGTGGAAGATCTTGGTAAACGTTCCTCGACCCAAACATTCGCCCTGAGAAAGATTTATTATGCAATTAAAAACATGGGAGAGTGTTTTGTTTTTGGTCTGAACTACTCCTTGAACGCCAGCTTCATGGTTTTGGCTCCCAGATTTTTACTACAGATAGCCTAGTTCCATTAGGTAAAAAAAAATAATAATTCAAATAAAAAACAATGTTCTGATGAGATGAGACTTAGTCCCTCCCCTCCGATTTGATTAATCCAAAATGTCATTTTTATCACCTGGAAGAGAAAAGTAAACAGTAGATTTTCAGGAGTGCAAACGTGTAGCCCACAAACTAAATGCACCATGATGCAGCTCAGGTTGGACCCCATCTGGTTGTATAATAGTGTGAACTCTTATGAAGCATTCACACTATTGTGATCCATTTTTCTTACGTACGTTTTTCGTCATCTTTCTTGTTCCACAACTTTTGTGCCATTTCCACAAATCATAAAATGTGCAGCTCTTTCAGGAGAAGGGTGCTCTGACTTTTGGTATTGGTGCAACTATAGCTTTTAAAAATATTTAGCTTTTTCTGCCATTTTTTTTTCCTCATAGAAAATGAACTGAGGTCATTTTACATCCTTCATATTTTTAGATCTATTTACAACCTTTTACTGCTCCTTTCACATTTTGTTCTGCGTCAGCTTCTTTTAGCTTCCTTGTGCAACTGTAAATTTTTTCAGCTAATTTCAGCTGTTTAGTGCTCCTTTCAGATTCTTTCTGCTAACTACGACATTTTTGTGATGCTTATAACTTCTTTCTTCTAATTTCAACTTGTTATGATCCTTTCAGCTTTTTCTGCTATTTCAGCTACAATTTAGCTGTTTTATGCTAATTCTAGCTTTTTCAGCTAATGCCACGTTATTTGCACTCCTTTCTACTTTTTTCAACCTAATTCAGCAAAAAAATATGCTCTCTCCACTTCCTTCTGATAATTTAAGCTTCTTTCTACTTTTTTAGCTTATTTTCAACTGATTTTTGCTCATTTCAGCTTTTTCAGACAGTTTCCACTTTTGTGCTCATTTCAGCTTCTTTCTGCTTTCTTCTGCAAATTTAAACATTCTACTTTTTCAGCTATCATTTTTAGCTAATTGCAGCTGTTTTTAGATAAATTCTAGTTTTCCGTGGTAATTTCTGCTACTTTCAGCCTAATTAACGTTTTTCTGCTTATTTCAGCTTGTTATGCTCCTTTCATCATATTTCTGTTTGTTTCAGCCTTTTTAGCTACTAGTTAGCTGTTATTTACTAATTTTAGCCTTTTCAGTTAATTCCACTTTTTTTTAGCTCATTTCAGCTCTTTCTGCTTCTTCTGGCAGTTTAAGCTTTTTCTGCCTTTTCAACTACTTTCCAGCATTTTTTTGTGATCATTTCACCTTTTTTTTAGCTGATTTCTTAATTTTTGTGCTAATTTCTGCTTATTTAAATCTAAATCAGCAAATGTGTGTTCTTTCTGATTTTTTTCTGCTAATACAGGCTTGTTCTTCAAATTCAGCTAGATTTTACCTTATTTATTTATTTATTTATTTTTAGCAAATTTCAGCTGTTTTTCAGCAAGTTCTTCTGTAATAATCATTCACACTGCATTTTTGCAGGAAATGCAATTTCTCTAGTTTAACTTCCAGTAAAATCAACTAAAGAGCAGACTTTGCTTTGCGTGTTACCTGTTGTTTTGTCTGTACAGCACTTTGGTTGGCCTTGTTGCTATTTTAAGTGCTTTATAAATAAAGTGGTATGGTAAATAAAGTGGTATGGTACTTTCTGTCCCCCAACAACAGATGCTCCAACAAGTTCTAACAGATGATATAACATATGAGCTAAAGGCGGAGCCAAACCACAGCTCTGAAAAAACTGAGGTTCAAAACAGGAAGTTCAGAAAAAAGATTGGGGTTATAACCTGCTGTAAACCGAGTCAAAACAGTGAAAACAGACTGAGATCATGAGTTAGTTCAGTGGTTTGTGTGTTTGATCTCAGTAAACTCTCAGGCTTCGGAAACAGCCAAAAAACAAATCTTCACATGCTCATAATGACAACCTTAAATTGACTGTGCTAACCGGTTTTGGAAAACAGCCGAATACTTCCTGTTTCTGGCTTCATACCTAAAAGAGTTTCACTCCTGTCACAAACATCTTACACTTCACAAATCAACTGTTAGGGTAACAACACTTTTTCAATCGACTACATCATCAGAATGTGCAAGATCAAACAAAAAATAAACGCAGAAACTAAAAAGCGATGTGGTTATTCATGTTTGTGTGCCGACAAGAGAACCTCAACATTTTAAGACATTTTGGAGACTTCGTTATGAATGCCATCTGCCAACTAATCACAAGCAGTCGCTGCCCAGCGAGACTCTGGCTGAAAGAAACAAGTCAGTAAGCTTACAAAGAAAAGGGCCTCCTTGCGGATCTTGTGGAAAACCATCTGGCTGATGTGCTTGTGGATCGACGGAGACAGAGGAAGCTCTGCCTCTTGATTATTTCTGCACACCAGCAGGTTGGATTTCTCTGAACAAACGTAAAGATGGACAACAACGTTAACGGCGCTACATGAGATCGGAATCAACATGAATCGCTTTAAAACTGCGAATTATATTTAGGTTTGTTCGTTTGTGAGCATGCGTTCACTGTTTCTGTGGATGTGAACTCTGACCTTTTGGGCAGGGTGGGCAACATCTGGTCAGCTGAAACGTGTATCCATCGGTGCGGAGCTCCTCCTTTTGGTAGCAGTTCATAAGTTCTTTCAGTGAACCGAAGCTCCTCTGGGTACCGCTCAGAATGTACTCTCCTGACTCCGTCTTTGTAATCAGACAGTGCTTATACTCCACCATAGACTCATACTGGAAATCAATATGAATATATATGTAGCGAGTGAATGGTGCTGTGTGAGTAATCGTGCATTTTAACTCACTATACATGATTCTGTGACCATTACAGGTACAGTTAGATAAAAAGCAGGATAATGCCCCATTTCCACCACTATTACTCAGCCCCAACTCTGCTCAACCCGCCACGAATCCCTATTCCACCAGTTCTTTTTAGCTGATTCGGCACCTTTTTTTTGTCCCTGCTTCTCTGGTGGGACCGTTCGAACTGACTCGGGCTGAGTCCGGACCGAAACGTGAATGCAGGACACTGATTGGTCAGGAGGAGGAGTCACTGGATCTCGGAAACTTTTCGCCATTTGCAATTTCTCAGAACGCGAAGCAGCGGCTGGATCTATTTTTAAGATTTTAAAAACAATAATGACAACGCCGTGTTTAATGCTGAATTCCAGGCGATTTTTTGTTTTTGGTAACCGCCATCAAAATTCAAGCGAGCGGAGTCGCCGCAAAGGATCATACGAGCTGCTGACCTGTTGAAGCACGCGAGGCCGGACCCCGAGCCCTGGCCTCGCGTGCTCACAAAGACCGGATTCCGAGCCCTGGCAGGCAGGAGGACTGGGACGACGGGTGAAAGCTATTTTTTTAAACATTTTATGTATAAAAATATTATTTTTTATCAGTGAAAAATAAAAATAAATAAAACGGGACCAGCTTTATCCTGAAATCCTGTTTTCACGTTGACTTTATTAACTCATCTGTTAATTAAAGTTAACTCAGCTGAAAAATCAGAAAAAGACAAAATTATTGGATCGCTCATGAATATTTCCCTCAAATATGTTTAAAGAGCAGCTACAGCCTTTAGTTCAACTTTATTCTAAGCCACGGATGTACAAATCACAAAGCAAGAATTACACTTTAAATCAAAGCTAAAATAAAATCTGTATACAAGAAACAAAACCACATATCTAAATTGAACAATAAAAGTAAACACGCGTGCAAATACTTCAAATGATGAAGAAAAATACATTTTAAATATAGATGTTTTTGTAGAATCTGGTTCATCAGATTTAATTCAATTCAGTTTATTTATACAGCGCCAAGTCACAACAGACGTCGTCTCAGGGCACTGGACAGAAACATTCCTATTTAAAAATAATAATTTAACATTATTTATCTGAGGAGCAGACTGATTTGAGTTTAACTCATCGCCAAACTCTCACTCTTGATGGTGAACTAAAGTTCATGAAAAGTTCATTAGCAGGATTTTAGATTCTGGACACGCCTCCAGAACTGGTCCTGAAGTGCGGTAGAAACCCCACATGTAAAGAGCTGAGCTGAGCAGAGTAGGGCTGAGAGGAATGGTGGAAAAGGAGCATTAACCTGAGCATTGGGGGCCATGATGGTGTAGAGGCAGGGCAGCCGACTCAGGACCTGAAGGTCCCGGATTCGATCCCCGATCATTGCACATCTTGTGGTGTCTCTGAGCAGGACACCCCATCCCCAG